CTCATTTTTTTTCTTTCTTTTCTTTCATTTAATTATAAATTGTTAATTTAATATATCCTTTGTAAATAAACAAATGTATTTTTTTAGAGAGGGGATTCAAATAGTCATAACCTGTCCTGTTTATATGTATGAAATTGTGTAGAGACCATTTTACCTGGCATATTAGCACATTTGGATAAGCTGAGAGTATCTTTTTGGGGGAATATAATAAGTGAATATAAATTCAACCTTTTTTAACTGCGATCAATTAACATAGAGATTTTTTCTGGGTTTCCCAGAAAAAATCTCTATGTTCATCAAATATCATCTTCTAAAATGCCAATCAAGCATCTAATGCGATCAATTAATTCCTTTGAAATATGTGATGCATCAGTGAAAACATTCTGCATGGTGCATATGCTTATTTTGACCACATGCAGCTATGTTCCCATGTTCTGAGATGCAAATAATTGCCATGCCTTTGCATGGGTTTGCGACTAGAGCTGGGCAGGAAATGCTCGAAATTTCGATAACTCTTGGTATCATCACTATTTGAGAGTGATTCATAAACACATGTTTATAATTTAGACGGAATCGAACAAAGGACTCTGCCTATTATGGAAAGGTTTTGTCGCCTCTATTCACAACCTGTAGCAAGTCTAGGATGACCCATGCAGTACAAATAGCAATCTATATAGGTTGAAGTGTGTCCATAGTTACGCTCGGATGAATGGTGTGGATGAAAACAAGTGATGTAATGACCGTGAAGGGGTGGGGATGTGTAACCAAGTGGGATGAGGGTATGACATAAGGGTACACGGGTGGTTCGTCAAGGAGGCTGATAGTGTGTTATGGAGACGGTCACGGATAGCTTACATTGTCCATCACCCTGAAAAGAGGCCTGGGTTTAAGTGAAGAGGGCAGTTCGGTTGGGCTAGACAGTGGAGAGCAGGTGCGTGTCTGTGAGGGGGTATGACATAAGACCTGGGGGAGGGGGCAGTGACAAACTAACTGTTGAGCTATGTACGTGTGAATACAGGTGTTGGAACATACGAAAACGATTTGCGTCAGGTTTTATCGGATGCGGTGTTACGATGGATGGGTGGTAGGTGTGCGGACTGTGTAAGAAAAGGATTTGAGTCCGGTTTTATCGGAAGCGGTGTTGGGATGGATGGATGTTGGGCGAGGGGACGGTGTGTAATCGCGTAGATATGATAGTGTAGAGGAATGGGAAGCCTCCAGAATCGGAGACAGATAATGATGCAGGTGTAGTTAAATATCTCAGGCAGGCTGTTCGTGACTCCGGTATAGGGCTGTGCTGGTGGCGGAGGTCGGGAGCAGGGATAGAGGGTTGTGTGGAGATTGGGAAGTGGGTTGTATTTTGGGTGATTGAGGAGAAGAAAGGGGTTAAGAGTTTTGAGAAGAGGTGGAGGAAGGAGTTGATGAGCATCGGTGACCGGAAGAAGAGAAATGATTAAAGGCAGCGTTCTTGGATGAAGAGAGACAGGGGAAGAATAGAGGAGGATGTTGAGAATAGAGGGTTGAATCTGGGTATGTGTTTAGGGTAAAGAGAATAGAGGGTTGAATCTGGGTATGTGTTAACGGGTGAAGAGAATAGAGGGTTGAATCTGGGTATGTGTTAACGGGTGAAGAGAATAGAGGGTTGAATCTGGGTATGTGTTAACGGGTGAAGAGAATAGAGGGTTGAATCTGGGTATGTGTTAACGGGTGAAGAGAGAATAGAGGGTTGAATCTGGGTATGTGGTTAACGGGTGAATAGAGGTTGAATCTGGGTATGTGTTAACGGGTGAAGAGAATAGAGGGTTGAATCTGGGTATGTGTTTAGGGGTAAGAGAGAATAGAGGGTTGAATCTGGGTATGTGTTTAGGGTTAAGAGAGAATAGAGGGTTGAATCTGGGTATGTGTTTAGGGTTAAGAGAGAATAGAGGGTTGAATCTGGGTATGTGTTAACGGGTGAAGAGAAATAGAGGGTTGAATCTGGGTATGTGTTAACGGGTGAAGAGAACAGAGGGTTGAATCTGGGTATGTGTTAACGGGTGAAGAGAATAGAGGGTTGAATCTGGGTATGTGTTAACGGGTGAAGAGAACAGAGGGTTGAATCTGGGTATGTGTTTAACGGGTGAAATCTGAGAATAGAGGGTTGAATCTGGGTATGTGTTTAGGGTTAAGAGAGAATAGAGGGTTGAATCTGGGTATGTGTTAACGGGTGAAGAGAATAGAGGGTTGAATCTGGGTATGTGTTAACGGGTGAAGAGAATAGAGGGTTGAATCTGGGTATGTGTTAACGGGTGAAGAGAATAGAGGGTTGAATCTGGGTATGTGTTAACGGGTGAAGAGAACAGAGGGTTGAATCTGGGTATGTGTTAACGGGTGAAGAGAATAGAGGGTTGAATCTGGGTATGTGTTAACGGGTGAAATAGAGGGTTGAATAGAGGGTTGAATCTGGGTATGTGTTAACGGGTGAAGAGGTGAACAGAGGGTTGAATCTGGGTATTTGTTAACGGGTGAAGAGAATAGAGGGTTGAATCTGGGTATGTGTTAACGGGTGAAGAGAATAGAGGGTTGAATCTGGGTATGTGTTAACGGGTGAAGAGAATAGAGGGTTGAATCTGGGTATGTGTTAACGGGTGAAGAGAATAGAGGGTTGAATCTGGGTTTGTGTTAACTGGTGAAGAGAACAGAGGGTTAAATCTGGGTATGTGTTAACGGGTGAAGAGAATAGAGGGTTGAATCTGGGTATGTGTTAACGGGTGAAGAGAATAGAGGGTTGAATCTGGGTATGTGTTAACGGGTGTTGAGAATAGAGGGTTGAATCTGGGTTTGTGTTAACGGGTGAAGAGAATAGAGGGTTGAATCTGGGTTTGTGTTTAGGGTTAAGAGAGAGTAGAGGGTTGAATAGAGACAGGCATTCTTAAATGAAAAGTGAAGAAGATGAATAGAGGAAGGTGTTCGTGGTTTGAGAGAAGAGGGTTGAATAAAGGTACTCTCATCGAGTGTGATGAGAGAAACGGGTTGAATAAAAGTAGGCATTTGTGGTTTGGGAGAGAAGACGGTTGAACAGAAAAGAAAAGACGTTCGTGGGTTGAATAGAGGCAGGCGTTCGTGGTTTGAGAGAAAAGATGTTGATTTGGGGTATACACCCAAGGAGTGAGTGCGTGAGTGAGTTGGGTTTTACGCCGCTTTTAGCAATATTTCAGCAATATCACGGTGGGGGACACCAGAAATGGGCTTCACACTACACCCGAGTAGGAAGGAGAAGAGGACTGGACATTGATAAAGTGAGAACATGAGGAAAAAGATTTAATAGGGGTGGATGACGTATGGCGATGATTGGAAAGGCTAGTTTGTTGCATGTTGAGTTATCAGAGATTAAGTGAGGTGGATTTACGTGGGAATAATGAGAGAGAGTACTGAATAGGGGTTGATGAGTGAGTGAGTGAGTAATTGAGGGGTGAGTGAGTTAGTGAGTGAGTGGCTACTGCAGCTCATGCCACTCGAACAAGTCTAGGCGAGGGGACACCAAACATGGTCTTCACGCATAGTACACAGATGGGGAATCGAAACCGGACCTTAGGCGTGACGAGGGGACGCTTTAACCACTAGGCCAACCCGCTGCTCATAGGGTTGGGATGGAGTGAAGTTGAATATGAGCTGAACAGCAACTGAGTGGGAAAAAGTGTGTGTTGCTCTGGGGGCGGAGACGGTTTTGAAAGTGTTGATGAGCGTAAGGGAAAATATTAACTTTCCTTGTTGGTGATCGGAGAAAACGGTTGTATCAAAATCGGTGTGCTCGATGAAAGTATGGTTTAAATATCATCGAAAATACGCAGATAAATGATCATGATATCAGTCACTGGAATTTCTGATACCCATGAAGGCCCGGGTTAGAATATCGATCTTCAGTAACCCATGCTTGTCGTAAGAGGCGACTAACGGGATCGGGTGGTCAGGCTCGCTGACTTGGTTGACATATGTCATCGGTTCCCTAAATGCGCAGATCGATGCGCATGATGTTGATCACTGGATTGTCTGGTTCAGACTCGATTATTTACAGACCGCCGCCATAAAGCTGGAATATTGCTGAGTGCGGCGTAAAACTAAACTCACTCAATCTGATGGAATCGATTACAGACCGCCGCCATAAAGCTGGAATATTGCTGAGTGCGGCGTAAAACTAAACTCACTCACTCTGATGGAATCGATTACAGACTGCCGCCATGAAGCTGTTGTTGTTGAATGCAGTATTAAACAACAAATAAACAAACATACAAAACGTTAACGTCAATAGAATATATTAATGGGATATTGGCTGTATGGCATTATCATCAGGATATAAAGCAATAAAATAATTAATCTGCAAATAAAATACCATTCCAAGCAATCTGATTCAAGGACAGATCAATGATTTTTGGCTTGGTAATGCTTTTAGACGTAACCTTAAACTGTTTTCTGGATTGAGTGATGCTAACTCTGAGCAATACATGAATAAATATGTCTCGTTCTTTCATTCAAGAGACGGTACTCGGTCATTCGTGTTTTGTCAATGAGATTAAGACGTAGAAAGTGGAACTTAGTTTTATCGGCAGATAGAGCGTTTGAACAGTTTGACACCTGCCCTTTTTAAAACGGAGACTGGAAATCAAACAAGCCCACGTACAAAAGTAGAATATTTGATTACTTTTCCATCCACGAAAAAAGTTCACTTCACACAAAACGCGACGCCCTAGGAAGTCTGTCTCTCCGCACACATCGTTTGAAGCATTTCACCAACATTACTCACGGGACAATATAAGCGCTTAGTTTACCAGTTTCGCTTGGAGTCTTTGAGCAATGCATGTTTGACTACGGTTGCCGTTGAAAACATCAGTTCAGATCAACTCGTTTGTTGCTTTCAACGCAATCTGCTCTGAGTGACCCGGAGAGACGAGCGCGAGTCTTGTGAATGTACTTAATCGACTGTCACTCAAACCTAGGTAGCTTGTGTACTCGGTTCTGATTGGTCGCTCGGCATATAAGCCCCGCCTCTGCCTCGAGGGCTGAGATACACTTGCTATGTTATGAAGTGAATTACGCTTCGTTTCAATCACCTGCTAGGTTTAGCAGGGGAGTCGAGTTATTGAAGAAATGTGTTGCGGTTTTGGACAACTCTGAGTGTGTGGTTGATTATTCAGTGTTTCACGTGTGGATTTTGACAACCAGAGGATATCTCTTTACCGTGTATACATGCGCACATATATCGTCTGCTCCAGGATTGCACAGGAAGGTGTATCGTCTGCTACGCACAAATGAAGAAAAGAACGATCACAGGAGACAGAATTTGATTAGGAATTGACAGAAAAAGGCCCGGGGTGTTCTTCACAATCAACATCAACAAAACTCGAGCAGACGACATTCAGACAATTGCTCGGTCACACTCGGACAAGTTCGCTGGCTCCATATCTGATGGAAATTGAATTGATGAAGATAAACACCTAACATTACATGACTCTTATATGAACCGACTTTCATGGATAAACGGATGTGACAACGGTTACCCAGCCGACTGACAGAGTACTGTACTCCATCGAAACTGTGTCAAGTTCATTATCTACCTCCAAATATCAATGCTCACTTCAAACACAGGACGGTCAAGCTAGATGTCCAAGAGAATTGACGAGATGGGGTATCGCAAGCATAGGTTAATTTACCTAACCCTTCTCTTAACAGGTAAGTCAACGGGAACGAAACTCGATCGTCTTTTTTCAAGTATGTCATTAAATGTCTCGATGTGTGCGCCGGTACACAGATGGTTTATTCATTTCAGGTGTTTTGTATTTAGAATATTTGGCATAGCCGTTTTCCACTCCAAAGTGATACCATTTGGGAATATTTATATGAATTGCTATATTTCAGATAATTTCACATTCATTCCTTTTAGATTATTGATACTGTTTTCACATAAACATACCGTGTTTGTCAAATATAACAAAACGAATCTGTTGGGTGTTAAACATATCTAAACCACGTGGGTTGTGATACAGAAGCCTGTTATGTATTTTAACCCGTAACAAGAATGAATGTAGCGATGCCAGCTGAGGCAAGGGCGTGTTACAACGATAGTGCTTATATCAGAGTTAGTTAAGCTGAAGGTTTAACTCTGACGTTTTGAAATAAATCCTAAAATCCAGATGTGATCAAGTCTTGAGACGGAGACTGCACTTTGATAAAGACGGTTTTACGAACTGACGACTTATCGCCAATGTACGTCTAAGATGCACCCTGTACAGGTGCGTAGTGACGAAGCGCGATTCCATTTGAAATTTACACTCGTTCTTGAAATGAAATACCTGTTGCAGCAATTCTTTTCAGTAGGTTTGTTCAGACAGGTTTATTTTTAGATACATATATTGGCTCATTTAACCATTTAATCTCATATGATCCATTTGCATACAACATTGCGAATATTTCCATGCGTCGTAACATCGCAAGTCAAAAATATAACGCCCAAATACATATATATATATTTGTTAGATTTTTACAAAAATGAAGCGATTCATTAAAATGTAAACTCACGGGCGAAAGAAACGTCACCTCGCTTTTTTAACATATCACAAAACAACAAACTAAGATTTGGGAATTTAACAATCATATGTGGTAAATTAATGGATTTACAACATTCTGAATGATGAAAGTGCGAACTACAGATATGAATAATCACTGAGTGTACGATAAAAGATAAAAAAATCATTTTGGTGACGTTTCTTTCGCCCGTGAGTTTATTTTCTTACACCATATTAAAAAATCATTCGATCATATATACATCATTAATATTATCTATAATAAAAAGTATTAATAATAATAAAATAAATAATAAATAAAATAAGATAACAAGCGGAATCACAAAGTAAAAACGTACCGCCAGAGATTGTTGAACGTAAACATATGTACAATGTACTGCTTTGTTTGGTGTTGTTGTTGTTTGTCTTAAAAACTTGAACTTTCTGCGTAATAACCTTTTGACAATAAACAACGCAGCCTATAAGGCGTTTAACCCGGAAAAAAACAACACTGTTCAACCGGTTGTGAGAGACCTCTTGGTCCCAACGTATATGGCCGAGCTATAAAACATTTTATCATTTGTCATACCTCGGCTTGTACAACACCATCCGTGAAAACATCACAGGATGTTTGTACCTGCGTGACGTATTGTGTGGCTTTCAGATGCTCGCGTGACGATCGCGAGACGGACGAAGCGACAATATCGCCGTAAGATACATACAGTGCAAATACAATATAAACAGAACATATGTTATATTTGTTATACATTTGCATTACACTTTCTCAGAAAGCATATGTTACACTTGGCCACTTTCTAAATGTCATTGTCGTGATTGTGTATTCGATATGAATATATATACACGACGGATATTTTGTATTTTGTCCAAGTTTGCAAGTATACCTGTATTTGTACATAATAAAAATAATAATAATAATAATAATATTAATGTGTCCATTTATATAGCGCCAAACTCCACACTAGGTATGCTCATAGCGCTAACAATCAAGGCAAATCACATTATTACCCCGGATAACCCAAGCTGCCTGTTAGGCGCTAGAAGGTTATAGTCATATGGATTTTTACACCGGGTACCCATTTTCCTGCTGGGTGAACAGAGACAAGTTTTTAACAAACTCACTTGCCTAAGGTGAGACCACATGTGTCACATGTGCTTCGTTGTGGGGCAGAACTTAAGTCCTAGAAACTCTCAGGAGTCAAGCTGCCAAACACGGTCACCCATCCAAGGACTCTCCGAACTCGACGCTGCTTAACTTCACCGATTTGTGACCTGAGCTTTGAGCGCAGGACCACGCGCGACCACATGCAGGTTATTTGTATATGTGCGTGCGTGCGTGTGTGTGCGTGATTGTAAACTAGAAGAGATTTCTCCTCCTTCAAATACCAGATTAGTGACCGTTTTCACATCCATTCGCACGCCCGAGCGGCGTATGTACTTCCGCACGTACGCAGATTTTCGCGCGTGTATATTTGTATTTTAAGGATATCCCAGCCAAACCCGGCATGTCCCCGCATTCTTATTAACCATGTTGTTTCACGGGGGTAACATGGAGTAGCAGATGATTGTACATTTATCGAGGACAGGTAGGGTAATCACGTGTGGCGTATTAAACCGATACGTGCATGGGTGAGTGAGTGAGTATGGTTTTTAGCAAAATATTCCAGCAATATCACGGCAGGGGACATCGGAAATGAGCTTCACATTTGTTCCCATGTTGGGAATCGAACCCGGGTCTTCGGCGTGACGAGCGAATGCTTTAACCACTCGGCTACCCCACCGCTAAATGCCGGTGACGTAGCGTGTTGAAGCCCTGTGAGGGGAGGACACTCCACGTCGGCATGCACTCAGTACAAAGATTGTATCTCGTGTCCCGAGATTGTGTCAGACAAGGAGTAATGTTTTGTGCCCTTTTGTTTAAAGTTTGATTTTTTTGTCTGTATGAACACTGCTATATAGTCACGTGAGTTTTATGTGCTATGAAAAGGTGATTTCAGTGTTGTTAAGTTGTTAACGTGTCAGCGATGAGTGAGTGAGTGAGTTCAGTTTACACGCATTTAGCAATATTCCAGCAATATCACGCTTACTAGGCTACCCCATCTCCCGTTTCAGTGATGAAATTGTGGATGTCAAAATTAATAACGCCGAGTTTTCAAGGTTGCAAAAATGAAGTACGAAATTGTAATTCGATTGTGGTGGATTTGGTACGGGTACCATCGGACATATTGCACCCTTCCTATCAATGAGTGTTCCCGGTGACATGCATAGATTAATTGAACTAGAGAACTTTTCACGTTACATTTACGTTCTCATAATATCGTGACGGACAGTAAATAATCGTTAGGTCCCAGGGATAAACCCGGCTCTGAATATTCGCCTAGTTTTGTGTGTGGTTAGAAATATTGAATCAGAATATCACTTTTGTTTAGTATGCCCATTTTATGATGGACTGAGACGAGCTATTATTCCTGCCTATTATCATACATTCCCTTCGGAAAACAAATTTAAACAGTTGATAGCAAGTAAAAATGTCCATGTGTTATCATTGCTTGCAAAGTATGTATTCTTAGCGTTCAAACTACGAGCACGTTTCCTGTCATTGCATGAATGATATATATATATGTGTATGTATGTATGTATATGTATGTATATACATATATGTATGTGTGTGTATGTGTGTATATGTATATGTCGCAGGCGCTTGGTGGTGTAATACACTGTATCTTCTGTATGTATAATGGGCCAGTGGCCCCCCATACTGTCAATAAACTCTCTCTCAATTCGCCTAGTTTCTTGCAAAAACGAAAACTAACGACACCAGATGCTCAGTTTGTCGTTGATTTCAGCACCCCATTTAATTCCTATATATATGTAGCACCCGTCCTTTAGTGCACTCCTAAATTGCGCTGATAAGTGCCTTTTTAACTGTGCCCAAATATCGTATTTCGCATTGTAATGTCACCCTTGCCGTTTAGGTATTACGTTACTTGTATGTATAACACATTTCATTCACTGAGACAATGACACGCCGCTAAGCAATGACGGCTAGAAAACACAGCCTTGAAATACACACATCATTACTCCACCAACCTCTGGTGATTCCAGAGTTCAACAGGCACTTGTAAGATCCGTATAAAATGAGGATCGGATGACCAATATATTTAACTTGCCTGAGGTTTTTTACCTGGCTGAATTAATGTCATTGGATTTCGCTGATCAATTAACTACTGGTCTGTCAAGTCCAGACTGGAATATTGGGGATTAGGTGGTCACTATGGATGACCTAGTTAGTTTGGTATATCGTTATACCGTTGACGTAGTTAATTGTTCGTGCCAACAACTAATGATCCAACGACCCACGTTCCTTCATTGTCAGCCTGGCCGGTGGGGTAGCCAAGTGGCTAAAGCGTCCGCTCATCACGCCGAAGACCCGGGTTCGATTCCCCACATGGGTATAATGTGTGAAGCCCATTTCTGGTGTCCCCCGCCGTGATATTGCTGGAATATTGCTAAAAGCCACGTACAAACCACACTCACTCACTCACTCATGTTCAGCCTGCCTTGCAGTTCTAATATTTCTGCCTTTCCTGCCTGTGACAACTTAAACAACGTTTGCTCGCTGTCCAAGCAATAACCGTTTTGAATAACACTATGTGTCTAATCTACCGGATAAAGCAAAAGTATGCAGCTGTAACTGGATTTAACCAAAATGTTACAAACGTTATCAAAATATTACTAGCCTGTCATTCAGTAGAATACTTAAGGTCCAAAACAAGTCTGGAGTACCCGAATTAAACACATAACCATTAAATAGCCTTTTTTTCGTTTCAGTTTTTGCAAATATTAGTGTATACTTTCTTTTGTCTGGTATTTTTTGCTCAATGGTATATAAACTTTAGCACGCAGTTAAAAATAACACACAAAAAATACATGCCTCCGTGAACTAAAGTTTTAACGTATACCCATTTTCGACATAACCTTTCCACATAAATCACATTTCAGTGGTTACGAAGTGTACACAATAATTATCCATCTTAAAGACCCTTACCTCAAAAGTTTTCTCCCCCGGGAAAATTGCATAGAAAATCTAAAGCCACGGCGCATATGATCTATATTGGCGAAAACTGTCATACAAATAATAATCCACTTGTA